ATATATATATATATATATATATATTTAAAAATTGAATAAGTATGAAAATTAAAAGCCCCGGTGCAAAATAATCCATTCATTAAAATGGACAAACGACTGACAAATATTGTCACTTAAAGCATTTTTGTTGTTGTTTTTTTTTTTATACCATATACCATAATTGGCCAATATACCAAAAAGGTACAAAAGATTTTTTGATTTCCTTTTTTTTCACGAGCTGCTTAAACTTATGAAAGACCCTGAATAAATCATTTCAAATATTGATGAAACTCAACTTGATTTGTCATGAGATGCTTCTTTATGGTATATGAAATATGAAACTCACCACAATGCAGCACATTTTTGATTTATGTGTGTTGTGTTTTTTTTTTCTTCTGAACAAACAAAACAACATTTTTTTCAGGTATTCAGATCATAATATGAACCAAGAATTCACATAAACATATGACACCAAGCGACAATATGAAGACATCAAAATCTATCTGACCTGTCAGTGAAGCTTCAAGTCCAGTCCAGTGTCCAGTTTTGCCGATAAAGACGATGGAAGCGGTCCCAAACGCGAGTGAGTCCACCCAACATCGAGTGTGTGGCCAAGAGCGCCGCCCAAGGAATCAGATTGTACCACAAATGAATGGAGGCAGTGTCCCACAGCCAAATAAGTAGACTACAATCCCTCCGTTTGATCCACACTGGGATCGTTGGACATATTGAATTCCACCAACCAGGAGGAATGTCCACAATTAATGCTCTGAGGAGAGATGCTTTCAGAGTGCGGGGAAAAGCTCTTTGCTCATCAACGTGACTTTGTTGGAACTCAAAAGTTGAGGAAAGAATTCTAGCTGAACAATGAATCAATTTCTAATTGCAAAGGAGAAGAATACAGCCAATTTCCTTTGGCAAATAGTGAATGATTAATCACAAAATGGTCTTCAAAATGTTTTTGCCACACCTAGTTCAAGTTTACTCTTTAACTAAACATCAAACAAAGAGAATTACATCACTAATTACTTGTGTAGTTAAAACAAGCACATAGAATTGCCTGCTTGATGCTAACAAACGAAGCAAAACACCACTGACGTGCTAACGGTTAGCATTTATAGTCACGTTTTTTTTACCCTGCGCCAATGTTGGAGTGGGTACGTGGATCGAAAAGTTGAGAAAGGGCCTTTCTATAGTCAGGCCTCTATTAGTAAAAGTTATTCAAACTGGTTAATGATAAAGAGATTTAATTTTTAAAAAATGTAAAAAAAAAAAAAAAAAATTAAATACATGCAACTGAGAGAAACTGCTTTTTGGAACCGGAGTGACAAATGTTGGCAGATGTAGTGAGGCAAACTCAGACTTCCCCCTTGTGCAACTGTGTGAACCACTACACCATTGAGCTCTACAATCGATCTTTAAGAGAAAAAAATGTTGACAATCTGCAAACAATACAAAACGATGACGAATGCAAGGTTATGTCTTGGCCTGGGGGGATGAGGAGTGTGTTGAGAGAGAGAGAGATAGAGAGAGAGAGAGAGAGAGAGAGAGAGAGAGAGAGAGAGAGAGAGAGAGAGAGAGAGAGAGACAATAAAACAATAAAAGCCTACAACTCTATGGCTGTAGAGACATTGAAAGACGTGAGTCATGTGTTGACATGCGGAGTGATGTCATCACAGTGAGACTGTCGTTTGCCCCGTCATGGTTTTCGTGTGCAACTGGCAATTTTGAGTCACATGGGAAGGTGCCAATAGGAGCGCTGGTTGCCACGAAAGAGGTCTGCTCGCTTCAAGGGCAGGAGTGGGCAAAGTCAGGCAGTTTATGATCAATAGTCAAGTATCAAGTACAACTTTATTGTCAAATGTGCAACATACAGCACAAATGAAATTTCTTCCCTCTCACAACATACAACAAGAGGAGCCGCTGCGGGTGCCCGCGCCGCCATCAAAAGAAATATAGAAGATACTAATGTCATGTTTGTTTTTATTAATATCATCTTTTTTTGCCATTTGTTATTTTTCTTTCAAAATTGGTTGATCAAATTATTTATTCATGTATTTATTATTTTATAAACGATACAATGAAAAGTGGGTGGCAGGGTCGTTGACTCATGGTTAGCGTGTAGGCCTTGAAGTGCAGAGGTGCAGGTTTCGATTCCGGCTCCTGCCTTCCTTTGTGGAATTTGAATGTTCTCCCATGCCTGCGTGGGTTTTTTTTTCCGGGTCCCGTGATTTCCTCCCACATTCCAAAAGCATGCATGGCAGGTTAATGGAGCGCTCTAAATTGTCTCTAAGTGTGAGTGTGAGAGCGGAAGATTATTCGTCTATGTGTGCCCTGCGATTGGCTGGCACCCAGTGAAGGGTGCACCCCGCCTACTGCCTGAAGACAGCTGTAATAGGCTCCAGCAGTGTATTAGAAAATGGTGGATGAAAGGTTAAATAAGAAGTTGTAAAATAAAGTTGTCATTAAACAACTGGTTATCCTCACAAAGGTCGTGTCCAGCTGTCCTCGTGCAGTCGTACACCCTGAACTGGTTGCCAGCCAATTGCAAGGCACAGTTAGATGAACAACCTTTCGGGGCTCAAAATCACAGCTAAGGACCATTTAGAGTGGTCAAAATATCGATTTGTTACAGTATATCAACATTAGTACTTTTCCCTTGAAAATAGGCACCTTTTTTTTTCTTACGGCATTTAGGGGTGCACGTGTTGGTTGCTTAATTGACATTAATATTTTGAGGGGATCTACGTGAAGATTCCTCCCCTGGATCCAAAAAGTTTGAGCACCCTCTATGAGCAGGTCGTCCGTTAGAAATAAATCGGAGAAGTGGTAAGACCGGCTCTCGCTCCCAGAACAGGTGAATGCTCACAAGCAGCTCTGCAGGCTGCCACATGTTCATGTCTTGAAATTTTTGAACTGATGTCCTATTGTTGTCATTATATCAGCCCAAACCTCTAGATCTGAGCCTTAAAAAAAAAATCGGACTTGTTTTTGCACTAAATTGTTGACGGACCTTCATCAAATGCCAGCAGATTACAGCAAGCGCGAGCCAATAAAACTGTTATGATTCACCACGTATTTGGATTTTGATCATCTGCAGATGCAAACTTATCTGATAAAGAAAGATTCCACAGAAAAAATATCCAGGTATTAAATAAATATTTTTGCATCTTTATCAGCGCATCACTTTGCCCTCACACAGACCAAATTTGAAAACGATGAGGATTTTTAAGATGTGTCCGAGATGTTGAAGGAGGCTTCAAAATGTTTGAGAAAAGTTGAGGTGACCATCTACGTCCAGAAATGTTCCAAATATATTTTGGGGGGTATGTTTGAGGGATCGGGGGTATGCCAACTCTGTTGGATGTGGAAGGGATGTGCGCCGTTTCAAAATTCTGAGAAATAAGATGTGGAGCGTCCAGAAGTGTGCCGATAAAATTATTACTTTTTAAAATTATGTCCATGTTCAAGGGAGTGCGGCAACTACGTCAAGATTTTACAGTCAATCTTAAATCTAGTAGCTTTGATAAAGTGGCTTTGAGATCTGCGAGACGGCGGTGCTGGGTCTGTTTAGCATTGCCGCTCGACATTTTGATCGCGTAAAAAGTGGAAGCCAATAATCCTGTCCAGTAAACGTCAGATGATGCGCACCTCTAGACATCAATGCGGCATGTGTTGCGCAATATATTTTGGGCCCTACTTGCCATCATGGTGCTCAAGTGGTTCTCACGCTTGCTTCACAGTTTGAATCTGGAATAGTGCAGGTTGGCTTCATCCTGTCTGCTGGGTCAGTACGGCGAAGGCGTACGCTGCTAATTGATTTCTGTTGACATGTGACCTGCGGAGAAGAAGCAGCTGGGGGGTTAGCGACATGATTACCCTGACCGGTGATCCAGGATGACCTTAGTAAATGACAAAAACGCTCTTAATGACGCAGAGTTCATATATTTACTCATTTGAAACAAGGCCCTAGGGAAGTATTGGCGCCATATATATATATATATATATATATATATATATATATA